CATAATACAATTCATTAACAACTTTGTTACATGGGCATCCTAATGACAAGGGGACTTGGGAAATCAAGGTTTTTCACTCAGCATGTTGGCACTCTGACATTGGATTTTCTTTTTTCAAGGAGGGAGTTAATATTGGGTAGGCAGCTAGCAGTATCAGCCGTATCCCCCGCTTAGGTGGGATTAGATTTGGCTGCAAGTAACTTGGAAACCAAAATAATGGCGACATCAACAGATACACCTTTACTTCTCTCACATAAGTCTCTAGGGCTGGTGTGATCCTTTCATGATGTCAGGGACCCAGGCTCTTGTGCCTTTACCGTTCTCAACATGAGGCCTCTACCTCATGGTCGAAGGCGACTGCTCCAGGTCTAGCCAACACGTGGGCAATTCAGCCAATAGAAATGGAGGAAAGATCAGAAGGAAACAGTCCTTCCCTTTAAGAACTTCCCAAAAGTTGCACATACGGTCTGTTTACCTGCTTTTGACCAGAATTCAGGCAAATGGCCACATATAGCTTCAAGGGAGACAGGGGAATGTGTTCTTTATTCTTGTGGTCATGTGCTCAGCTGGAAATCAGGAGTCCTTTTCCGTAGAAGACAGAGGCACTGGATTGAAGGAGATAACTGGTGTTCTCTGCCACTTACCCTAAACCTGGCATTCTACCACCTTTCAGTAAGCAGCAGCCAGGTCTCCCCAGGTATGGCTGCCAGGTGAGGTCAAAAACCTCAAACAGTGAAGTCATTCTGAGCACCCCTTGGATGCCATTCTGATCAGCTCTACTTTCCACATACTCCCGCAGCCTTCTACTTCTCCCCACCTCTGCTGCCAGGACCACAGTCCAAATCCCCATCGTCTCCTGCCTGGACTTCTGCAGGACCTTCTTCCTAATCCAGCCCCCCTTTATAGTCCATCTTGCTTGTAGAATCCAACATAATCTCTAAAAATTATATCAAGTCGTTTCCTTGCTCAAGCCATTCAGTTTGCTTCCAATTTAAAATGATATACAGATTCCCACCTTGGCCTCCAAGGCCCTCTAGCTGCCACCTCTCAGAACTGGTCCCTCCTTCCTGTGTTCTGAACACCAAGCTTGGCTGTCCCTTTCCATGCCTCTGTCTCTGCTCTAACGTTCCTTCTCCAGCTCCTCACCAGGCGCCCTCCCAGCGCAATGCAGGCCACTCCTCAGACACTCCCACCTCACACAGCCTTCCCCAACTGCCCCCAATACACCCCCTTCTGTTACTATCTGCCCCTACTCTTTTATTAACTTGTTTCTTGTCTGTTTCCTGGTATGTAAGCCCCGTGAGGGCAGAAGTGTCTCTGACACTGGAATAACACATAGGAGGAGCTCAGTGCCTTCTCTTCTGTGACCTTCTTCAGGGGCTGTTTGTTTTCCCTGCAAATTATTTTTTCTAATAGACAAAAGAATAATGTGTTTTAACAAATCCTAAAATTTGTCCTTCTTCTCTCTTCTCTCTACTGCATGAAGTCAGCCCTCTTCCAAGAGGCTCCCCTCTCCAAATCTGCTGCCCTTTTGCTCCAGCCTAGACTGCTAGTTCTCTAAGCAGCTGCCCAGCTGTCCTTGGGTTTCCCTTCCCATGCTGACGGGGTGGAGCTATGCGTCCTGATCCTGTTTTTCCTTTTCCTCGCTTTAATCTCTCAGTTTTCTAGAATCAGATGCTCAACTTTGTGTAATAGAAGACATGGAAGGTAAACATTCTGAGTCCGTCAATGTGTGAAAATGCATTTGTTTTCTCACCCGTGACTGCTGGTGGCTGGTTGTGGAAATCCGTTTTCAAGTTCCGTCTTTGAGGCATTGATCTTCTGGTGTCCACCGTTGCTGATGAGAAGTCACTTGCCACTGCTGTTCTGCTTCCTTTGTTTGTCACCTGATGTTTCCCCTCCGTCTTCTCTCTGTCCTTAATATTTTGAGATCTCAGCAGATAAATGATGCTAAGTGTGGGTCTCTTTTTATTATGTTGGCACTCAATGAGTTCTTAATCTGAAGATGTATATCAGGTCATATAAACTTTTTAAAATTATTTCTCTAAGGATTTCTCTTATTCTTTATGAATGCTTATTAATGTTATATTAAGCTTCCTGGATTAATCCTTTTGGTGTTTTATTTTTTCATGTGCCTTTTCTCTCACTTTGTTCTACACTTTGAAAGACTTCCATGATTTTATACTCTACCTCTTTTAATTTTTTATTTCTGTGTCATGTTTTTAATTTCCAAAATCTCTTTCTTCTTTTCTGATTGTTTCTTTTTCATATCAACCTTTTCTTGTTTTCTGGGAGCAGTGTCTTCTCAGATCTCTCTGCAGATCCTAGAGTTTTTAAAGATCTCTTCCATTATTTGATTTATCTCTTTCCTTTGGGATTGGTTGTTCCACTTGTTTTTCTTGTCCTTCCTCTTTCATAGTGCAGGCTTTCCTATAAAAGCGATCCTTGATTGCCCGTTTAACTAGATTAATTATTCTGGGCATTTGTCATTGGTTCCTCTGCCTTGGGTATATAAGTCTGGTCCTTCTAGAGTGTGTTGACTGGAGGGCTTCGTTACAGGGCATGAGGGGAGAGAGCCAGCTGTTAGGCTGGGGGCCCCATGAAAGCCAGAATAACTAGAATGGCAGACAGCCTTGTTCAGCCCAGACACTTCATTCATTTTCTTTAGGGACATTGACCCTTTTTATGGGGTATAGGTGTGTATGTTAGAGATGAAATCAGGCTGCTAGTCGGTCTACCTATGGGGGTTGGGGTAGAGTGTCCATTGGCTCAGGCCATGGTGTGGTCTAATCTGTCTTCTTGTTCCCTCCTCCTCTTATGCCAGGCCTGAGCACAAATCTCTCAGGTCTGCTGAGAAGACTGGGGTTCAAACTCTTTGCAGTCTCCTTCTTGAGTTGGTCTGGGCTGGGGTTTCCTCTGCTCTCTTTTCTCATTGATCTGCTCCCACTTTCTGTCTTTTAGAAAGTTGTGTCTCTATCCCTTGGTGATTGTTCCTTGCTCCCTGCCCTGTTCTCTTCATTCTTCTGTGTCCTATTCCCTTGACTTTTTGCTTTTTTTAAGTGTCTATCAGGATTAAATTCAGCTATAAAACAGAAAGTCCAAATACTAGTAACCTTAAAAACTGGATTTTTTTGGCTCTCAGAAAACAATTCTGGAGGTGGGCCATTCAGGGCTCTTGTGGCTGCTCCAGAAGGCTGTCAGACACATGGCTCCTTCTTTCTTTCTGTTCAGTCTTCTAGAGCACCTGCCTTTCATCCTCAAAGTTGCCTCATGGTGTAGGTGGTTGCTGCAGCTCCAGCCATCATGGTCACATTCTAGGCAGGGAGAAGGTGAAGAGGTAGGACAAAAGGTGCAAGCTAGCTGCATCTGTTCCACTTTGAGAGAGTTTTTATGGAAAACTCTTCTCAGTGACTTCTCATTACCATTGGCTTCTACTTTCTGCAGGGGGGTTTGGGAAATTGAACTTTTTAGCTGGATCTACCTGAATACATTATTATTCCCAACAGTATAGGAGCTCTGTTGGTGAGGAAGACAAGGAAAATAGATGTAGGAGTTTGCAGCTAGCACTTTCACACTATTATTTTAATGGCACTTCAGGTATGGAGAGGGGGCAAATACAGGCTCAGCCTAGTGTCTTGACCTGGAAGTGCTAATCTTTGAAGTGCACAAAGACGCCTTCTTTTTCATGATGTGCAGTAAACTTCAGCCTGGAATAGTCAATGGTGAATATATTCTTATTTATGGGAAAAATTTTTATTACAGTTTTAGCTGCTGGGGGTTAACTGTGTGCCTTTTCTTAGTGTTTTATTATGCTGTTTCTTTGCATGTGTAGAAAAGGAGCAACTTCACTAGGTTTTTCCAAGTTTTTAATTAGAACATTAAAATTGATTCTATTTTAGAGGCAGTATTTTAGTTTTCTATTGCTGCTGTAACAAATTAGCCCAAACTTAGTGGCTTAAAACAATGCAAATTTATTACCTTATACATCTCAAGGTCAGAATTCCAAAATGAGTTTCACTGGGCTAAAATCAGTGTCCACAGGCTGTAGGAAGAATCCATTCCCTTCCCTTTTCCAGCTTCTGGAGGTCACCTGGGCTCATGACCCTTCCTCCATCATCACAGCCAGCCAGCCAGCCAGTATCTTCCAATCCCTCTGTGACTCTGACCCTCCTGCCTCCCTCTTATAAGGATCCTTCTGATTACACTTAGCCCATCTGGGTAATCGAGGCTAATCTCTCCATTGCAAGATCCCTAATTTAATCAGATATGCAAAGTTCCTTGCCATGTAAGATGACATTCACAGGTTTAGGATGTAGATGTGGTAGGATGCGCCTACCACAGGCAGCTCTGACTCAAATTCCAATAGAATTTTTCTTTATATAGTCCCTTAAAACTGCTGCCGAGAAAGGCTTAGCTGAGAACCATCATTCACTTTTCATGAACGGAATTTGGGCCTAATTCTTAGGAATGTTAGAAGGATCAGTCGCCCTGTTTTTTAGTTCGTTCTATTAGAACATTCAAGAAACTCTCCAGATGATGTGGTCTAGTTCATATGGTATTTCCAAGGATGATGATTATAAACACTTGCATTTGGTTTTGCCTTTTTATGTGAAAAAAATATGCAGAAAGACTTTTCATAAGAAAAGTACTTCATCCAAGCAAAATTTCGTTGTATTAATTGCTTTTGGAAATTATAAACTTATTTACTTCCTTTATAATTCATTTACTGAACTTTAAATTTTTTGGAAAAAAATAATTCCGAGGTGAAATACCAGACAGTGTACACCAATGGCAACAACTAGCAAAACCACAAAGCTCATGTCCTGAAACCTGAACATGGAGGACAGCCACGTAAAGAATTTTCTGTCAAAATTTCATTGTAATTATATTGTCCTCTATCTTCTTACTGGAGATAACAGTGGTTCACTTTCTTTTATTGGCTTTTCTTTCCAAGTAATATCTTTATAATTAAGAGATATTTTCTCCTTCTGTCTTTATAGCTTAAGAAATGTATTAAAACTCCAGAAATCCCTTCTAAACATGTTAGGAACTGGGTCCCCAAAGTCTTGGAACAACGACGACAAGGTTTGGAAACATATTTACAGGTAAGATGTGTTAAGATCCTCAATATAATGTACCTTAAATAATCATACTTCTTAATGTTTTTCTCAGAACTTATGGGTGAGATGCAAAATGTATCAAGCAATCAAACGTTCTAGATTAAAAAAAAGAAAGTTTAAAATTATAAATATGTTGTTGGTTAGTTCTTTTAGCTATAATTAGGTTCTATTTAAAACTGGTGATGTGAATCAGGGAAGTGAGAATTTAGTATGAAGGTAAAAACGGGATGTAGAGAGGGTCTGTCCGCTTTTTTTTATTCAACTCTATAAATTACTTTGGTTTTGCTTTTTTTCTGCTCCAAGATTTGTTACTTTTCATAACATTCCTGGCCTTGAGGTTTGGGTGTTGAGGAGATAGAGAAACTGAATTTTCAGTGGGCCTGGCTAGTACATCCATGGAATCAAATTGAGAATGAACGTATAAAAATTGCCTGTGATAACGTGCCAACTTCTTTGAAAACTGGAAGGTGTATATATATATATATATATTTTTTTTTTAATTGAGTTCATAATAGTTTACATCAATGTGAGATTTCAGTTGTACTTTGTTTCTTGACTGTCATCACATAAATGCTCGCCTTCACCCCCAGTTCCTTCCCTCCCCCCTTCCCCTGGTAACCACTGAACTATTTTCTTTGTCCCAGTGCTTGTTTATATTCCACATATTAGTGAAATCATCTGGTGTTTGTCTTTCTCAGTCTGGCTTATTTTGCTTAGCATAATTCCCTCTAGGTCCTTCCATGTTATTGCAAATGGGATGAATTTGTCTTTTTTTCTGGCTGAGTAGTATTCCATTATATATATATATACCACATCTTCCTTATCCAGCCATCAGTCGATGGGCACTTGGGTTGCTTCCACGTATTGGCTGTTGTGAATAGTGCTGCAATGAACATAGGGGTGCATATGTTACTTTGGGTTGCTGATTTCAGATTATTTAGGTAGATACCCAGTAGTGGGATAGCTGGGTCATATGGTATGTCTATTTTTAGTTTTTTGAGGAATCTCCATACTGTTTTCCATAGCGGTTGTACCAGTTTGCATTCCCACCAGCAGTGTATGAGGGTTCCCTTCTCTCCACACCATCTCCAATATTTGTTAATTTTAGTCTTAGTGATTATAGCCATTTTAACAGGCGTAAGGTGGTATCTTAGCATAGTTTTGATTTGCATTTCCCTGATTAGTGATGTTGAACATCTTTTCATGGGTTTATTGGCCATCTGTATATCTTCTTTGGAAAAATGTCTGTTCATCTCCTCTGCCCACTTTTTGATCAGGTTGTTTGCTTTCTTATTGTTCAGCTGTGTGAGTTCCTTATATATTATGGAGATTAACCCCTAATCAGATATATGATTTGCAAATATTTTCTCCCAATTGGCAGATTGTCTCTTTGTTTTGATTCTAGTTTCTTTTGCGTTGCAGAAGCTCTTTAGTCTGATGAATTCCCACTTGTTTATTTTTTCTTTTTTCTCTTGTCTGAGAGGACATGGTATTTGAAAAGATCCTTTTTAGTTCGATGACAAAGAGTGTATTACCAATATTATCTTCCTGGAGTTTTATAGTTTCAGGATGTATCTTCAAGTCTTTGATCCATTTTGAGTTTATTTTTGTGTATGGCGTGAGATAGTGGTCTACCTTTATTCCTTTGTATGTGGCTGTCCAGTTTTCCCAGCACCATTTATTGAAGAGACTATCTTTTCTCCATTTTATCTTCTTGGCACCTTTGTCGAAGATTAGCTGACCGTAGATATGTGGTTTTATTTCTGGGCTTTCAGTTCTGTTCCATTGATCTGTGTGCCTGTTTTTGTACCAGTACCATGCCATTTTGGTCACTATGGCTTTGTAGTACATTTTGAAGTCAGGGATTGTGATACCTCCAGCTTTGTTCTTTTTTCTTAGGATTGCCCTAGCAATTTGGGGTCTTTGATTGCCCCATATGAATTTTAGTATTCTTTGCTCTATTTCTGTGAAGAATGTCATTGGGATTCTGATGGGGATTGTGTTGAATCTGTAGATTGCTTTGGGTAGTATGGACATTTGAACTATGTTTATTCTTCCAGTCCATGAGCAAGGAATCTCTTTCCATCTCTTTAAGTCATTAGCAATTTCTCTCTGTAATGTCTTATAGTTTTCATTGTATAAGTCTAGAAGGTATATTTTTAAAAGAGTGCATTAGGGTGCTCCTTTCTGCAGCTGAGAGGAGCAAGCAGAACGACCTAAGTAAGACAAGACAGAAGTAGTCTCTCTGCCAAGTGACAGAAAAAGCAAAGCAAAGGATGGATCAGTGTCAGCTTTTCAAACTTTCCCCCAGCTTGAAAATGAAAAGGCTTAGAGGTGTCAGGTGAATATTCACTATATTTGTCATTAGTCCGAGAGCAGTGTGCAGGACAACTACTTAATGGGGGCAAGCCTTGCGTTCAGCCAGGACACCTGAGTCCACTTGAGAAGCTGAAACAAGAGAATGACTGAGGTGAGCATGTCCGGGAGGGCAGGGGTCTGGGGGGAATCTTGGCTCTCAAAAAAAGAAGAGCTGGACTTCACCTAAGAGTTATGAATTTAACATAATGGTCTACCTAAGACCTGTTACATCAAAGAAATGGGCAGCCATGGCTGTGTTCTTTCATTATGATCTTCATAACTCCTTTAAGCATTAGCCCTAAGGTGGAGTCTGTTTAGGCAGCAGCTATGGACTGTGTGAAGCAAGTATCCTATTTCCTCTACAGAACTTTCCTGGGTGGTTGTGCCTGAATCACTGGTGATTAGAAGATGAGGAGAAGCTGTCGCCACAGGCTTGTACTTGGTGATAAATTCAGAGGACTCTATTCTAGTGGAAAGATGCCAGGAGTCCGTTCCTGGCCTCCTGTAGTTTTCTGGTCCTTACAGTGCTCACATAGGAAGGCTGACGTGCTGGAGGCCCTGAGGGCATCTCAGGAGGGCTCTCTTTACTGCTTTTGGACATGGGATGGATCTTTCACTGCCTCTCCCTGGAACTGGGAGATTGAAGGAAATGGGGACCACAAATGACAGGAAAGTGTGTGACTGTGTTCCTTGAGGCTCTGCATATGTAGCTATGAGACTTCCAGAGCTTCAGGCAACACTGCAGAGCAAAACCAAACCAAAAAACGAGACTTTAGACATCGTATGCAAAGAGTAAGAATGCATGTTCTCTATAATTAAATGGAATAGGTAAACAATGCATTCTTATTTGTAAGCCAGATTTTCCACAGATATTGTATATCTTCAAACTTTAGTTCTAAAGAGAGTTTTATTCTTTTTTCTCCCGTTGTGTTTGACACATGACTTCCATTACTACACTGTGTAAACATCTTAAGTTGTTTGTACTTTGGATATAAATATGCGGATAAAATCATCTGGCACAGAGAGGAGTTTACAGTGACACTCAAATTGAGCTTAGAATTTTCTATTCCAGAAATAGGGCTTGAAAGATGTGGTTGAAAGACTGAGAGGGCGTGCTTCCTGTTGTGCATTTAGTATTCAATTTGTTGTCAGTTAAGTCCCTGAGGAGTTCAAGGGCACTTTCTCTTCTCCCTTTTCCAACCTGATTCTATTTGCAGGCAGTGGGAGCTAGATGGAAGCTGTAAAGATGAGTGTGAATGCTTTATCAATGCCAATTGAAGTGAAAACCCTGGCTTAAGTATCATTTCTTGGTATCTTTTGGTGTTTTTAAGTCTCTTTAGAAGTAAGACAGTTTTTATTGTTCCTCTTGCTCACCTGTTTAATTCCAGTTAGGATCCCACTCACCTTCAGAACCAGTCTGAGCCCCAGGGTGTAGGTGCCACTAGTACTTCTCAGCAGGCAGCATCCTGCAACTCAGCCATCTCGGCATGAGCTGGGTAGGCTCACCCTGTTTGGGCCCATAAACCTGAGAGAGTATTAATACCCCAGAGCCATAGAGTCTTAAGCTCGCAAGGAACTTAGAAGTTATCTAGTCCAGCTTGCCTCCTGCCCTTCAGTTGTGGTCACAATCATCCCTCTGGCCTCAGTTTCCCCCCCATAAAACAGACAGATTAGCTTGTGAGAGAGCCAGAGGAAACAACTCTTCCTCTTGTCCGAGGAGCAACAAGTACATTCTGGACCATGCATGGGTGCACCACACACGTTTCCTAAGGTGGCCTATGCTGCTCTTTCATTTTAGAGATGCAGAAACTGAGGTCTAGCGAGGTTAATGAACTTATCTCACTTTCTGGAGTATATTAGTTAAAGAACTAAGACTGGAATTTTAGTTTCTTAATTCCTAGTATAGGCTCTTTTGATTATGCACTATAGATTTTCTAAGAGAAAATTTTCAGCCTTAATGTATGATTTTACTTAAGTATAATAAGAGTAAGGGAAAAGACCTTATAATCATAAGCTATCACAATTTAATTGACTGTCTACCCCCAACTCATTTGATAGATCAAATAGATCACTGATTTTTTAATCTATAACTTGAATGTGTAGAATCGTATGAAAACCATGGGTATGTATCTGTTTTCTGTGTTGTCATCTGCATAGGAGGAAAAACCTTTAGAATAAATTAATTGGGTTTTCCCAAGCTGATTTGACCATCAAACATGGTTTATATAGTGTTATCTCCTGGTTTGAGAAGACTTCCCGTCTTTCCTGAGACCCACTGAAATAAAAGTATAAAAACTTAAGAAGGAATGAACCTGAACAGTTCAGTAGTGGATGGTCAGGGAAAAGAGGGGATCATCATAGGAAGAAAAATTTTTAACAACTTTCTGGATGATGGAATGTTCTGGGAGCATGTGGAATTGATGCAACAGAGAGCGAAAAGCAGCAGCCCAAAGTCAGCCATGAGAGCCTGTGGTGGAGGTGGGAGACAGCCTGCACACGACTGTGTTGGAGAGCTTCTGGACCTAGAGTCGGCCGGTGAGGCGGAGGCCGAAGTGAGCAGTGAAACGGAAAACAAGTGGCTCCACGCAGGGTGTGTTCATGGGACAAGTGCCCAGGCCACTTATTCT